CCACCTGCACGCGCGCGGCGCCACCGCCGCTCTCCCCTGCCAGGACCTGCCTACTTTTCCCTGTCAGGAACTGTGACGCCAACCCCCCTCCCGCGGCCGGAGCCCCCCCCCAGCCGCATTTCCGGTTTTCCCGTCTCCTTGACAACCGAGTCCGCGCCGCTCGCGTCATTGCACCATTTTGATGGCGGCCACCTTGAGTGAGGGAGACGGGAGGATGGGGGAGCCGCGGCAGAGCTAGTAGGACGCCGCCCCTCTTTGTTTTCTTCTCCCCCCCTCATCGAGAGTTCGGGATACTAGCGAAGAACCAGAAGGCTTATGTTTTTGCTGGTTAAAGAACCCAGGCGGTGAAAGAAAGTCCACTCGTGACCACAGTAAAGATGGCGAAGTCGGCTTCGTGCACGCGCTAGGCTGGCTGACGTAACCTGCGTGCTGCACCCCGGCGCTGGGCGGCGCGGGGAGGTTGCGGCTCTGCGGGCTGCGGACGCAGACTTCGGCCGGACGCGACCGCGGCCACACCTGCGCTCCTCCCCGAGCGCCTCGGTTCTTCGGCCGGCCTCCGCTGGTTTCGGGGTGCAGAGCCGGACTGCCTCGCGATTCGCGTACGTACGGGTGCTGGGGGCTCTTCCCTTTTTCCCTTTATCCCCCCCTCCCAGCCACCCCTTAATCCCGTGGTCCTCGCTCTCTGACCGATGTCCCTTCACCGCGTGGCACATGGTCCACGGCTTCTCGCGCTCACATCACCTCGTGCCTGGGGCGAATGGTGTCTCCGGGGAACACCCACCCATCACCCACCCCACCCCCATCCTAGCCTTCCCGGCGCCGCCTCTCCCCGCGGAGGAAGGGGGGATGGACGAGGGCTGCCCGCGTGGATACAGCGACGTAGGTTATTTGTTTACTTCCCTTGATTTTGCTGGTGTCGGCCACTGCCCCCCGTTCTCACTCGCCCATTATTTTGCTGCGACACGGAGATGGCGGGGGGCGGGGGCGCTGTGCAGACCTGGCGCAGCTTTGTGCCTTGGATGCCGCGGGCTTCTGTGGATTCGGCCCTGACAGCATCCAACAGTGCACCAGGTCTAGGTGTTTCCTACCCTAATAATAGTCACGACTTATTGAGCGGTTACTACGTGCCAGGCACCGTATTAAGATCTTAACGTAAATTGTTTTCGTTTTATTCTTACAACAACTCCATAGCGAAAATGGTGCGTTATCTCCGTTTTGCAGATGAGGAAACTGAGGCACAGGTAGAAAGTTAAAGAGTGAAGACCTGAACCCAGGTCTGACTCTTAACTACTTACTAGTTTTAATTACCTTTGATAAGTCAGTAAGAACCAGCTTCCCGACAGAAACCAGAGATGGCCTCAACATTTTGTTTGTGCATCCTGAAGCAATTTTTGTCTGTTAAATAGCTAAATAAGTCCAATTGTTGTTACGTCCAAGATTTGGAGACAAACCATTTTGGACTTTTTGTTGTACCACTTACTGTCCCAGTCACCTGGGACAGTTGCTTAAACTTCCCAGAGCCACAGTTTGCTCACCTGTAAAATGAACATCATAATAGCTACTCTATCAGGTCCTTATGGAGTTTAAATTAGACAGAGTATGTAAAAGCACCTGGCACGTAGCAAACATTCAACATATATAGTCCCCCTTCCTCCACCTTTATTAAATAATTGGGCTTTTCCAGCTTATCCTCCATATACATACATACCCTGTGTTCTCAGTTATGTAAGATCAAAGCCGTTTTGCCTTTTAAAACCTCAGAATCCCTGAGATGCCCCCATTAACTCTGTGTACTTATTTGCAAATTTTTATTTTGTTTTTTATTTTGTTTTCTGTTTTTTTGTTTTTGTTTTTTAGTTTGCCCCTATGTGTACCAGAATCAATGCTGCATAGTTTGAACCTGATAGGATTGACTTTACAAATGAAACATTTTTGTCACATCTGCCAAGAAGTATGATTTGAATGAAACTTTAACTTATACAAGTTTTCAGATATTGTTAACGCATTTCTCAGCTGTCTGCAGTTATTCATTACCTGAGGGGGTGCATGGCCCTGAAGGGGAATGATAAGACCTGTGGATCTTAGATCCTCTGAGAACCCACTACTGTATAATCATACCTATGAAATCACTTGTGCTGGCAGCCCCAAAGGGAGTGTAAGCCAGAGACTTTGATATCATGCAGCCGAAGAGCAAATTATTTCTCCAGGCCTTGAAATATAGTGTTCCTCACCTTGGGAAATGCATGCAGAAACAGCATTTGAATCACTGTAACTTCGCTGATCGTTATTACAGTAGAATAAAGTTGAAAAAATATCACGTAAACAAGTGCCTGCAAAATAAACCCAAGATATCAGAGTTAGCAAGAAACATCCCAAGTCGGAACTTCTCATGTAAGGTATGGACTGTTTAAGTTTACCTATTTGTAGGTCATTAAGATTAATTTTAGCTTAAAAATAATTCTAGTTTGATTTTTTAAATGTTCTGGCTCAATTGTCTATAGTCAAATTAAGTATAAAAGACTATATACATATATTTATAGAGTTCTAATAAAAATATAGATTTATGTAATGATTCACCTTAGAAATTCCTTAGTGTGCGGGCACCTGTGCATTTCAAAGCATAATTCCGTTTTCTTAAAATTCCTAGAATATCATAATAGCTCTTAATAAAATCTAATATTATAGTAATTGTTTTATGAATATCAAATTAGTAAACTTCAGTAAAGGCCATGTACTTTTGTGTTGCTTCTGTGTAAAAAAACAAAAAAAGGATTTGCAATTTTTACCACTTGGGTCCTTTAGGAAGATGCTTTCAGACCTTTGTACTTTGGCCAGACCCCCAAGTTGTACTCATGATGTCATCCTTGAGAACCCAATTGCCTTTATGTGTAGACTAACCACACATCCCAGTTTGCCTGGGATGGTCCCGATCTACACCTGTTGTCCCTGCGTAATTATTAATAGTGTCCCCTTTCCTCTCTAAAGTGTCCTGGTTAGGATGGTAGATCATATGTTCATCCTACTTGTTTGAGATTAAGTTATTTATTTATGCTGCTGCCTCTTTGGCATACCTCCCCTACCCTATACTTGTTCCTTAGGTTGTTTAAGGTCCTTAGGTTCCTTAAATTACATTTAGGGGTGATACTCTTCCAATATTTAGTATATTTTATTATTTTAATTTCTAGTTTTAATCGTTGCATACTGATTTTTCTTACTCTGTTTTTATTTCCTCATTTTTTATTTTGGTAAAATATGTATAATATAAAATGTGCTATTTAAACCATTTTTAAGTGTAATTTAATGGCATTAATTACATTCACAATGTTGTACAGCCATCACCACTGTTTCCAAAACCCTGCCATCACCCAAAAACATATAGCCATTAAGCAATATCCTACTTTTTTTGAGTTCCTGGTAACCTTTAATCTACTTGGTCTTTATGAGTTTGCCCATTCTAGGTGATGCGTATAAGTGGAATCATAATATTTACCTTTTTTTGTTTGGTTTATTTTACTTAGCATGTTTTCAAGGTCCATCCATGTTGTAGCATATATCAGAACTTCATTTCTTTTTATGGCTGAATAATATTCCATTATGTGTACATACCACATTTTGTTTATTCATTCATCTGTTGGTGGACACTTGAGCAGCTTCTAATTTTAAAAATGATTTTTTAATATTTTACTCATTTTATCTGTTTTTTTATTTAATTCTTACTCTTCTCTAGCTCATACTTATTTGTTGTGGGTTTTGTGTATGTGATTTTGTTTATTATCAGTTGCTAGACTTTTACTCCTTACATTTTAGTCTTTCATATTATTTTTCTTTTAATAGCATCTTTAGCACTTTCTTTCTAGAAATTTTTTTTTGAAGATCTAATTGGCTTTATTAGGTAATTCATGAAAGGGGCAGTATCCCAATCTAGCAACTAGAAGGGTGCTCCCTCATGCAGGAATTCTTTATACCTTTTCTTTCATTTTCACTCTGTGTGTGTACACATGTACAACTTTATCATACTTTAGAAAAATAAACTTAAATTTTACCTTTTTGGCAATTTTAGACCTTTAGATCATTTTATTTTACATGTGTTGTTTAGAACATTTTGTCATCTTGTGCTTTTATCTTAAGTCTTCATTTATAAATAGTAGGCAGGAATTACCATCCGAGTGACAGCTGTGACATTAGATCACACCCTGTGCAGGAGGTTGACTTTTTTTAACCCCTCCATTTGTCCCTGAAGCAACTTTTCAATTCTCTTTCATAGATACCTATCACCTAGAAACTTTATCCTGACTCCGTGACTCCAAGTTAAGGGGCTCTTTTAGTGATTCCTTTGCCTAATAAAGTAGTCCTGCTTTCATATGTCATATATCAGCCATTCCTTCTGTGAGAAATGATAAGATTAAAAGTTGTGATCTCTGTCCTTTATGAGTCACTGGGACCTGGGGAAGCTGTGAAGAGACCTGTATAGATAAGAATGTACATTTCCTTTCAGCAAGCATTCACTCACTTCCATCTTTGCCCACTCTTATGGGTACAACAAAGTACAAAAAGTAATTAAGTCCTGTAGACAAAACATTTTCTTAAAGTACAAACCTATTTATATAAGGTAACTATAGAGCAAGAGAGGACAACATATATAATAGAAATGCCAGAAGAGATCTAGCCATGACTGGTGTGCCCGGAACTAATCTTCCTGACTACCGGGAAAGGGAAGAGGTTCAACTGGTGTTCTCTAGAAACCTCCAAGTGCTAATCTCATGATTCTGTACCTCTTACCTTATTGCCTTAGAAACAAACTATCGCCTGTATGTCTGGACTCTTTAGTACCAACTTCTGCAGCCTGGCTGTGTATCAGAAATCCTGAGGGCTTTTCAGAAAACACATTCCTGGATCGCCCCATCTGCTGGATCAGAATCGCTGTGCCTGTGGACTAGGGGTCTGTTTGTTGCTGTTGTTGGCTTCTGGGCCTTTTTTAAAGTTCCTTGGGCAATTTTGAAATTCCCAGCCTGCCACTGACCGTGGACCTGCATTTAGGAACTAGAGTTGCTTGGTGGTTGGTGATCAAGTGTTGCTGACCTAAACCTAATTGAATTCATTCTTTCTGAAGTTCTTATTGGCAAGTACCTTAGCTTTCCATTTTACATTAGCAAGATGGCAAGATGAGCTTACTCCATTACTCATGCACCAGCTAGCAGTATCAAAGACCAATATCAGACCGGAGACCACACTTGTCTGCCACATCATTCCACTCTGCTCTGCATAAAAAATTAATTTCTAAAGTCTTTGATCATGATAATTTAATTAATGAAATGCAATAAGAAAACCAAAGAGAAAGGGCTAAGTACTTCGGTTAAACATTGGCCCATTGGCTTTTTCTACAATATAGATTAGCAGTTCCTGTAGTAGTCTCTCTAAGGTAGATAGGCATTATTCCATTGTATGATATACCACAATTAATGCATTTTCTTTGGACAAGCATGTAGGTTGTCCAATTTCTAGACTTAAAAAAAAAAGCAGCAAAGTACAGTCTTACATCCATATGTGCCCTTTATCCATATGTGCTAGTCTTTGTAGATAGTAGTCTCTATCTAGAATCAGAATTCCTGATTGTATTCACATCCTAATGTTTCTTGTCAAATTAATTTCTAAATTGATAGAACTATCTTACACTTACACTAGGAAAGAATATGTGAAAATCCTATCTTTATATATCTTGAGTAACATTTGATATTATCAGATAGACCATTTCCTTTTTGCCCTTTTGATGGATAAATGTATGTCGTTTAATTCTCATTTCCCTGAATGAGATTGAGCATCTTTTCTTATGTTTATTGACCCCTTGGTGTTGTCTTCTTGAATTGCTTATTCATGTTCTTTGACCAATTTTCCTCTTGAGTTACTTTTTCTGACTGATTGGTAAGAGTTCTTTATGTGTCCTTTGCCTTTTATGTGTGCTATGTCTTTTACTTTGATTATAATGTCTTTTGTTAAATAGGTTTTAAGTTTTTGTTTTGTTCTGTCTGTGTTTCATTCAACTCAGCAGTTATTTGTTGAACACCTACTATACACCGTTCTAGCTGGTGGGTATAGAGCATTGAGCAAAGGAAACAAAAGTCCCTGCTTTCATGGAGCTTACCATTGCATTGGTGAGAGAAAAATAAAGAAATATATGAGTAAAATACAAAGTAGGTCAGAGGCGATGAGTGCAATGGAAAATAAAATGAGACAGGGAAGGAATGAATATGCCGTGTTGAGATAGGGAGAATTGTTAAAAAATGCCTACTACTGGTCCGGGAAGGCCTATCTAAGAAGGTGACATGTGAGCAGTAGCTTCAAGTACATGGAAGAGGCCAGTGTGCCTCAGAGCAATTGGCCTGGGAGGAGTGTAGTAGTAGATGAGGTCAGCAAGTAAGGAGACAAGATCCTTTAGGACCTTATAGGCCATTATAAGGATTTTTGCTTTTCCTCTGGAGCAAGATAGGGAAACCACTGGAAGGGTTTTGAGGGAAGGAGTGATGTGAGCTGACTTTAGGCTCTTTTTGTTGAAAGTAGACTATAGAAGGCAAAGGCAGAAACAGAGAGAACATTAGCCTTTTGCAGTAATCCAAAGGAGAAATTATACTGGTACCACCAGAGTAGTACCAGTGCAAGTGTAAGAAGTGGTCAGATTCTAGATATATCGTGACTGTAGAATTGACAGGATTTGCAGATCACTTGGTTGTGCAAGAGAGAAATACAAAGACGACCTTGAGGCTTTTAAGTCTAAGCAGCTGGAAGGACAAGAGTTATCATTTATGAAGATAGGAACGATCGCCTAAAGAACAAATTTTGTAGGGAGAGGTACATGGGGAGATTGGAAGTTCAGTTTTGGACACTATGTGACATGCCTAGTAGATATCCAAGTAGAAATATTGAGTAGTCAGTTGGATATAAATAGCATTTAAGGTCACAAGGCTCAATGAGATCACCAAGGGAATTAGTGCAGACTGTAGATAAAAAAGTAGTCCAGGGCCTGCCAATGTTAAGAAGCCAGAGAGCTGAGTAGAGACCAGCTACAGAGACAAGAAAGGCCAGTGAAATAGGAGCCAAACAATGAGAACGAGGTATCTTGGAAGCCAAGTGAAGAAAAGTGTTAGGAGAAGGAAGTCATTAGCTGTGCCATGGTGCTGATAGTTCAAATAGTATAAATAGCTAAAATTAACGTTTGTACTTTGCATTGCAGTGGTCATCAGGGACTTTGACAAGAGCAGTCAGTAGAATGAGAAGGGCAGAAATCTTACTGGACTCCAAAGAAGGGGGAGGAGAGGATTTGGAGGCATGGAGCAAAGGAAACAATTACTTTCTTTCATTTAACAATCACTTTTGAAAAGCAAACAGCAAATATAACTCGATATTTTATTTTATATATATATATATTTTAAATATATCTTTATTGATTTCAGAGAGAGGAAAGGAGAGGGAGAGAGAGAGATAGAAACACCAATGATGAGAGAGTCATTGATCGAGCCCACAACCCGGGCATGAGCCCACAGCCCATGTCCCCTGACCGGGAATCGAACCCTGATCGCCTGGATCCTAGGTCGACGCTCAACCGCTGAGCCACGCCCGGCCGGGCATAACTCGATATTTTAAATGAATGTAATGAAGATTATTAAAAAGTGTTTCACAGATGCTAAATAAGATGTGTGCTGCCCTGGCCGGTGTGGCTCAGTTGGTTGCAGCATCATCCCATACACCAAGGGGTTTCGGGTTCCATTCCCGGTCAGGGCAATGCCCAGGTTGAGAGTTTGATCCCCAGTTGGAGTGTGTGCAAGAGGCAACTTCCTCTCTTACATTGATGTTTCTCTCTTTCTCTCTCTAAAAATCAATAAAATATAATAAAAATGTGTACTAATATGAATATACTTTGGGTATGTTAATTACAGATTTGTTACAGGTATGTAATTACAGGTATGTTAAACAATTGGGAGACCATTTATCAGGTCAAGGAAGTTCCTCTCTATTCCTAATGTAAGGTTTCATTATTTTTTAAAATGTGTTATTTTCTTTTTTCCCCTGCATTAATTGAAATGACCCTAAGATTTTATCTCCTTTATTTGTGTTAGATTACATTGATACATTTTTCTGATGTTGAATTTCTTTATTACATTTATCACTCTTAGGATAAATCCTTCTTGGTCACATAGGGTTTTATTATTACTATTGTTTTTGTTTTGTGCTTTTTAAAAATACATTGATTTATCATTTTATTTTAGATTTTTAAATTTAAATTTTACAGTAAGATTGATTTTTAACTGTCATTGTCCAGTTTTGGTTTCAAGGTTATATTAGCCTGATAAAATTCGTTGAGTAGTTTTAAGTAGTAGACATTTTTTCTTAAATAGTAGTTGACATATGAAAAGATAATCTGTTCCTTGAAGATTCAAGAAAGCTACCTTTGAAAGTATCCATTTTGTCTGTGTTTTCAAATATATTGGCACAAAGAACTTTATTGTGATTTTTTTTAAATCTCTGTTATATCTCTAGTTATTCCATCTTTTTCATTCCTAATATTCTTTATGCCTTTTTTAAATCAGCTTTGCTCTACATGTCTTTTTTAGTACATTTTTCAAAGAACCAATTTTATATTTTATTGATCCTCTCTTTCATCAATTTCATTGAAACAAATTAATTTTATTTCCTCTCTTCTACTTCCCTTTAGGTTTACTCTTCTCTTTTTCCTTCTTAAATTGAAATGCTTTATATTTGCAAACCCAGTAGTGTCAGATTGTCCCACTATTAATGATGCTATCGATGCTTCATCATTTTGGTTAGGGAGATAAATGCTTCTTCTCTCCATTGTTAAAGGAGTATTATTCCCTTTGCAAATGCTAAGTAATCAGTAGGGCAACACTTTGGTACTGTGCAAATACTGTGTTACCCAACATAATTTCACCTAATGAGTTAAACAACCACTAATGATCTTTACCCTAGTCAGTTATTTCGCTGGGGCTTGCTAATGATTTTCTAATTCTCTTATTCTTTCTACATTTACTAGCTGGTATTATTTCATAAAGAAGAGTTTCCTGTTTTGTTGTACCCTCTTTTTATTTTTTTATTTTAGTTTAGTGGGGAGGTTTTTTGCTTGTTTTCAAGTTACTGTGCATTTTTTCAGTGTATTATAATAAATTACAGTCATTATTCCTTTTGATGCTCAAATTGTCTCCAGTATGGCTAGTAGGAACCCCTTCAAACTAGCCCTTTTCTCCTTTTGACAAGTCTCCTTTAATCTTTGAGCATTTCCTTGCTTCCTGGCAGATGTCCTAAGCCTACTTTTTACTCTCCCTGCCCCAGACTTGAAATTAGCCATTTATTATTGGCACCATTTTGATTAAAAGCAGTCTAGGATCCTTCTACAATGCCATTTTTGCTATAACGAAGCCTACCTATTCCATTCTTCTATGTTTTCATTACTAAAATGGTTTTGTGGTGGGCCACCTGAGAGGTGGGAAGGAGCCCTTCTTTTTTCTACTAATGGAGTGATACTGTACATGCAACCTTCTTAAAATTTCAAGTTAAGCTATCCTCACCTCAGCTCCATTGGGTAGTATATGCCCTTGAAACCAATAGACTATTAATGTATAAGATAATTGGCTAAAATGGATAGATTTTGCTGCAAACCCTAATGTTAATGCTAGCCGACATTGAAATGAATGCAAGCTTAAAAAACAGAGTAGGTATTGTTGGGACAGAACTAAAACCAAAACAAGTTGGAGTACTTTATGAATATTATATAAAATCTCAGTTTCCCTGGGTGTAATTATTTTTTAGTAATTATTTACAAGACTTTTGAAAGCTACTTCTCTTTTGTTGAGGCAGTTAAAAATTCTTTTGTTTTCAGGGTTATTTTGGTTCAGGTAAAGCTCAGTCTATTTGGATTTTTGACATAGAAAAAAGTTAAGAGTATAGAGTAGGTTTCACTACAAGGGCAAGTATTGGGCCAAACTCTGTTGCCTTTAGCCCTGCTTTGGCTATGGCTCTTAATAAGAATGGGTATTTAAAGGTGGCAGAGCCCAACTCCCTGACCTAAAATGTGCTAGGAGCTGTCAGGTAGTATAAACAGCTATCCTGACTACTTCAAAAGTTCTGATGGGAATTGTGAAACAGACAACCATGTATCTGGAAATGAAAAGGCAGATCCTGTTGCTAAGTTAACAGCTTCAGGATAGATCTCTGGTCCTCTTCTGATTTGTGTTTAAGTGACAGTTGGAAATTATTGATACAGATATATTTCTTCACTACTCTAAAAATCAACTCTAGATTTTATAGAAATGCAAAAAATATAAATGAAAAATAAACACAAGCCTCTAGTATTTGGACTTCAAATAATTACTGAAGCATATTATGATCAAAGTAGACACTGAATGATCTAGACGACCATAACAACCATTGTTGCTACTCTGAATCTAATCCAAACAATAAAGCATCTCAAGAATTCTAAGGGAGAAACTTTGTGAAAATGATTGTTTTTCCATTTAATTTGTTTTGATAATTTTTCTATTTTAGTTATATGTTTAACTTTAGATTATAAAGGCTTTGTGATATAAACTGTATTTATAGTCTACATTTTCTACAGTGTTGGTCAAGTACCATGGACACACTTATGTAACAAATATTTACCAGCTGTTGGAGGTCCTTACCAAAGGCTTAGTGCCCCTCTGGCACAAATCACTGTACAGTTGTTATCTTTGGCAGAAAGTTGACATCGAAAATCTTGGCTAAAATTATTTTGCTTAAACAAGGCAAACCTGTTGGTGTTAAATTATTGAACCCTTTTTTATCTGACAACTGAGGTTTTACCTTATATAAATTTTGATACTTTATATGGTATTTATGTGCTAACCAGAGGTCAGCTAAAGCTCTTAGCTTATTAGATACTCCCAATAAAATAGAGTGCTTATTTAGCTCTCATCTGTATCTCTATTCATGTTCGTTAATTTTCCACTATTTTTCCTTGTTCTTCCTTTTATATGGGGAATACCTTTATTTTTTTTCTTAAACTCGTAGAGAAGCTCTGTTTTATAAAGGACTAATTAACCTTTTGATCTGATAAACAGTTCTATTTGGGGAACTCCATATCCCCACAATAGAAGAAAATTATGGCTAATGAAGATACAAAGCAGGACAAATTTCTTACCGTAACTCTTGCTGTGAATAAAGAGTGAACATTTATTAATAAAAATGCCTTCCTCTCCCATCGACAATTCCCTCCTTTTAGGAGACATTTTAGTACTTTATAAAACTCAGTAGACTTTTTTTTTTTTTTCTCTTGCACCTCTCACCCTGATCATTAAATATGTAAACATTCATAGGATTTCCTTTACTGCTTAATTTTCTATAAACCTTTCCCATAGCATTTCTGAACATTGTCCAGTGCTTCTTGGTGATTCTGCATCTTAAGGATCTATCTATTTAAATTAATAGTTTGGCTGTCAATTATCCAGATCATTTTCTTTGTTTACATTTCTAAATGAAAAAAAGAAGATTAGTTATTGAGCTTGAGAAACAACATTTAAGATCTGTGAAATGCACACTATTTCATAGGTATAGACCAACATTGTAGTACTTGCATAAAAAGGAAATGAGAATGATCTTTTAAAAGATAATTCTTTATCTTTCCCTAGTTTGAAATATTATGATCATACCAATAAAACTTTTTCCAGGATTTTCTGCCTAATAAACAAGAAAACGAAAAATCCCTTCCAGAAAACATGGATGCATTTGAAAAAGTGAGAACAAAATTAGAAACACAGCCACAAGAAGAATACGAAATCATCAATGCAGAGGTAGGATATTTATGAGTTTAACTCTGATACTACCAGTCAGGATGAAATAGCTTGTGATTTATAGACATAATCCCACATAAATTAGACTGCTTTTGGCCTTAAAAACATACTTTAAAACTTAAAGAACAAAGAATAAGAATAGTGTGATCCTTAAAATAAATTATCGAAATCAAGATGAATTTTCGAGTGTATTTTGCTAATTCTAGGTTCTGGAAACAATGAATTCTGTTTCAAATTTTTAAAAATAATTCCAAGGATAAGTTCAAATGAAACTAAGTCATATTTCTTTGTTATTAGAAAAGTATTTGATTGCTTTATCTACACTTTCTTTAAATGAAAAATTCACATTAGTGTAGTATCATGAAAGTCAAATGTTTATTTGACTATTTTATGGTTACCACAATCAATTGTATTTAATATATAGGTATTAGACAAGAGTACTATTCATTCTCTCGACTTCAGATTGTCTATATCTGTCACCCCACAGAGGATAAGATGCTTTGTGTAAAAAGTGATCCATTTTATATTTTTGAAGGGTTCATTCATAAACTTCAACAGGTCTGCTTTTATGAAAGATCTCATTTCTTCATCTTGACTAGGCAGACCATTAAACAGTTAAGTTAAATCTTGTTTACATCATTAAATTATTCATTACGTTTTATTAAATAAACCATTTCTTTTCATTGTCAGGTTAAACATGGTGGTTTTGTTTACTATCAAGAAGGTTGCTGCTTGGTTCGTTCAAAAGATGAAGAAGGTATACCACAGTTTTTCCTTTTAACATACTCTGATTTTTCAGATTTCACATTTTTCATAGGAAATTTTATATTAAATTCTCAAAGGTATAGCCCTGGCTGGTGTGGTTCAGAGCATCGGCCTAAGCACCGAAGGGTCTCGGGTTCACTCCCTGCTCCCAGTCGGGACGCGTGCGGGGGGCAACCAGTTGCTGTATCTCTCTCACATCAATATTTCTCTCTCCCTACCTCCCCTCTACTCTCTCTGGAAAAGCAGTAGAGAAATATCTTCACTCATTGGGTGAGGATTAACCAAAAAAAAAATCACAAGGTATAGAAAATATTTTTTTAGATTATTTCTGAATTTTTGTTAAATGACTAGTTTTTAGTATCTGGGTTTGTTTAAGATATAGTTTACAGCCACACTCAAAAGCTGTGACAGGAAGAGTGGAGGTAGTACCCAGCATTTTTTGAGCATCTGCTGTATCCCAGGCACTATACTAGGTGCAGTTATTCAATGCCCTTTACTTTTTCTTTCTAGGTTCTATATGGTCTATAAATACTAGACTATAAAGGTATCGAATAATATGACGTAAGTTAATGCATAATGTAATACTGACTAGCACAGGATAATATTAAGTAACCAGTGCCAGTTTCTATGTACATCAAGCTGCTATTAATGCTGTAGGAAGTGAGAATATAGCTTCTTACAGAAGAGGAATGCTGATTTATTTTATTTTTTTNCATCAAGCTGCTATTAATGCTGTAGGAAGCGAGAATATAGCTTCTTACAGAAGAGGAATGCTGATTTATTTTATTTTTTTTATTTTTAATCCTCACCTGAGGATATTTTTACTGATTTGAGAGAGAGAGAAACATCAATCAGTTGCCTCCCGTACGAGCCCCAACTGGGAATTGAACCCACAACCTTTTTGGTACGTAGGACAGTGCTCAGCTAGCTGAGCTACCCAGCTGAGCAGGGGAGTGAGTGCTGATGTGAAACACTGACACACAGTTTAAAATATTTAAGTACCTCTGCGGCCTTACCTCTTTCATCCCTTTCTTTATGCAGCAGACAGTGACAATTACGAAGTTTTGTTCAATTTGGAGGAACTTAAATTAGACCAGCCCTTCATTGACTGTATCAGAGTTGCTCCTGATGAAAAATATGTGGCTGCCAAGATAAGAACTGAAGATTCTGAAGCGTCTACCTGCATAATTGTGAAGCTCACTGATCAGCCTGTAATGGAAGCTTCTTTCCCCAATGTGTCCAGTTTCGGTAAGCCACCAACCAAGACAGTCTCCTGTGTTGAGAAAGGAACAGCAGGGAATTGTTCACACTTTTGAAACATTTTCCTTGCCCGTGTGAGTGAATGAGGCGAGTGCCTGATCCGTTGACCCCTGTGGACTCTACACCTTGCTGTGTGTCCCTTACTCGGGAGACTGCCCCTTCTTGAATTACATACCCAACAGCAGATTGCCCACGGTCACTACCAAGAGAAACTTTGGAACATGTTGAACAAACTTATTCATCAGTAGAAGTGGGGGTATTTTTACTAGTAGAGCCAACTCTAAATTTGATCTTTGATCATTGAGTAAAGCGTGTGTCTGTACTTTACCCTCCTTTGTCATTTTCTGACAGATTTCCCCATTGTTTAATAACTAAATGCTTTTGCAGGGGATTGGAATTATACCCTATCTAACTGACCCTAAGACATCAATTTGGATATTTTAACCTCTTAAAATCAAGATGCATACTGTGCAGTGCTGCCTTACAGTAACTGTCAGCCAGGTGGCAGTAATGGTGTAATTGTGTGAAAACGTCCAGGGACAACACCAGCATCAGTGCATTTGGTAGTCCCAGATATCCTGTGGCTCCAAGGCAGGCAGAAAACGTTTAGGCATGAGAGAAGATGCCCTACTATTTCCTCAGACTTAAAGCTAGAGGTTTTAGATTTAAACATAATTCATCTCCTGAAAACTTCATCAAAGTCTTCCCTAACTATTGAACATTCGTCTCCTATTTAGAAACTTTAGTGCCCTGAGACTGAGGACTACTGGAAAACAGAATGGATGTGGTGCAGTGTTTTATCCCCTACGAGGCTCTCAAGCTCGTATGTTACAGGCTGCACACAGTCGGGCCTCTGTTAGACGTAGACTTGCAGGGGAAGATGTACACCTCTCCCCTGTGGCGCTCAGAATCAGAGGGCACGGGCCTTTCTCCACGAGGGTGGCTGGGTAACCCCGGCTTCCCCCGCAGAGTGGGGAGGGACGGGGGACGGGCCTTTCCCCACGCAGGCGGCGTGTAACCCCGGCTTCCCCCGCAGAGTGGGGAGGGACGGGGGACGGGCCTTCTTTCTCCACGTGGGCGGCTGGGTAACCCCGGCTTCCCCTGCAGAGTGGGTGAGGGACGAGGAGGACGAGGACGTCCTGTTCTACACCTTCCAGAGGAACCTCCGCTGTCACGACGTGTATCGAGCCACCTTCGGTGACAACAGACGTAACGAGCGCTTCTACACAGAAAAAGACCCAAGGTACTAGAGCGATACAGGCACAGCTCTTTCTCCACAGTGATTCTCTAGTAGTCTAAAGTGCGGCTCTTGGTTGACTTAAAAGGCTGATTTTGGCTGGAACCAGACATATAAGCGGGATCATTCCTTTTTCTAAGTTGTTTAGATTCAGCACTGGAGTCTAGGTATATGCATACCCCAGAGTAAAGGTAAATGCATCAGACTGCAGATAATGGGTTACTAACGTTCTCTCTGGACTATGATGCATGGGATGCGTTGAGTCAACATTTATTTAACAGGGTTGTCACATAGCAATTGTAAATCTCTAGATACCATGGCATCAGTTGCACAGAAGTCACTACTCATTTCATATAGATTATCTGAATTTTAAACTGCTTTGCTTTGAGCCATGATGGCCATTGGTCTTAAATTGTACTTTCCCCAGTACTTTGGTATTTCTTTCTTAAAGCTAATTGTCTTTTATTTCCTTGTAATCTCCAGGACTACCACTTAAGCTTGGAAGGAAATGATAATAAATGTATCTGGCAAAATCTCTTGACTGAGAAACAATTCTTAACGCAAGGGTCCTGTCACTTTATACATCATTGAACAATATAGTTTGGACAATATCTGTTCAGATTTTGCAAGAAAAAAAGGGGGGGGATTTAATACTAAATAAATCTATGGCAGTGAAGTCAATACCCAAAACAAGAAAATTAACCCTTCATTTCATAAAATCTTAGACCTGGCAAGGACCTTAAAGGAAATCTTGTACAACGCCCTGTTAATATTAATAATTTTATATAGAGAGAAATTACATTATTCCAGCCCATAGAACTAACATTCTTGGTCCAGTGATACAGTCATTGCTTTTTTTCTGATGATTGTTTTAATGAGAAATTGCCAAAACTGTTTATTTATATGATCCACTGTTTTTGTTTGTTTTTAAATATGTTTTCATTGATTTCAGAAAGGGGAAGGAAGAGGGGGAGAGAGAGAGAAGCACCAGTGATGAGAGAGTCATTGATTGGCTGCCTCCTGCACGCTTCCTGTTGGGGGTCGAGCCCACAACCCGGGCATATGCCCTGACTGGGAATCGAACCTTGGTATCTTGGATCATAGGTCAATGCTCAACCTCTGAGCCACCCCCGCTGGGCATGATCCACTCTTTTATGTTTCACTGTTCAAAGATGTCTTTTGGAGTCCTGGCCAGTGTGGTTCAGTGGGTAGAGTATCAGCCTGCACACCAAAGCATCTCAGTCCAATTCCTGGTCAAGGGCACTTAACTGGGTTGCAAGTTCAATCCCGGCCCTGTTGGGGAATGTGCCTTCTTCCCTCCCTTTCACTGTCTCTTAAAAAAAAAAAGGATGTCTTTTGGAGATGATAGTTTAAGCTAGTAATTTATTTTTTATATCAATGACTTATGATTAGGAGTCATTTTCCATCTTGTGAATAAAGCTTGAAATTGGAAAAAACAAACAAAAATTTCAAAACTGGCCAGTGAGCTATGCCCTTGAATAAGGTACTTGCTTGCCATATGTTGTTACTGTCTAAGTTCTAAGATTAAGCGAATTATTTATATATTTAAGATTCATGGACAGTATTTGGCTTCTAGCAAGCTTTTTCTTCCCCATAGGGAATGAACCATAATTAAATATGCTTAAGCCTACTTTGGCATGCAGAACCTTGAGCTGCAGGACAGCACTTTCCAAGAACCTGATGTATGTGTGATAATTCACTTCTTTATACTTTTCAGTATTCTTAGTATGAATTACTTTTAAAAGAAGTAAACATGTAAACAACATTTAAAGCCGTCCATTGTGTTAGAGTTAATGCTCTTAAGATATTATTTGATTATATTTATCAAGAATCATAAAAATACTCTTAATCATTTAGTATTTCCATTCTTAAGAATGTATCCTAAGAAATATTGTAAAGGTCAGGGAGAGGGAAACTATCTTCATAAATATGTTGCTATTTATATCCTTTATTACAATGAAACATTAAAACCTAAATTTTTAAGAATTATGGTACTATAACCTGATAGAATATTAGGTAACCATTAAAAATAATGATCATAAAGAGTATATAACTAGTGTTGGGGAAGATATTGGTATTATGTGACATAAAAACTAGGAGAAAGGAAAAAAGGAAATCCAACATGTATACAGAAGAAAAACAAAGTAAATTGTGTCCCTTTTCTAACCTGTAATTACCTATCTCCTCTAGGAAGTTTATTTCCTCCTCTTAGCAAAAAGCCATATAATCTGTTAATGTGGTTGAGAGTTAGATGGTGTCTGTACTTTGTCTTGAAATGCATTCAAAAGAAGATGGATTGATGATCCATAGATAAGCATATAGCAAAATGGTAATACTATTGAATCTCAGTGGTGGGTATATGGATACTGACTTTACATTTCTTTCAACTTTTCTGCATTTTTAAAAAATGTTCGTAATAAAATATTAGACAAATATTATTCTGAATGTTTTGGGGGAGGATGAGGAAAATAGTAGCAGTATTTTACTTTTGCAAGCAGAATTCACTAAGTAGTTTTTATTTTCTATATGCATTATAAATTAACATATATGCTGACCACCTGTGAGATATCATTAACAAAATAGCATGCGTTTGATTTTCCTTTTTCTCCCTCTTTTTCTGTGTAGCTGTTTTGTTTTCCTTTATCTTACAAAAGACACTCGTTTCCTCACCATAAATATCATGAACAAGACCACTTCTGAAGTGTGGTTGATAGATGGCCTAAGTCCTTGGGACCCGCCAGTGCTTATCCAGAAGCGAATACATGGGGTCCTTTACTACGTTGAACACAGAGATGATGAATTATACATTCTCACTAATGTTGGCGAGCCTACAGAATTCAAGGTGATACTGTATTCTCTTTAACTCCACTTGGGCTGTTAAGAAGTGTCACACTTCTATCAGTAATATTTCTTGCTTTATAGGCTTTTGGTAAAGTGTAGAAATTAATGCCACCTTCCTGTGCGTAACCAACCCCATATCTCTCCCCTTAGAATTAATACCTCTACATACTTTAATTGTGCCTAAACAGGATAGTAAATGAAATATATTCTATCCTGATTATATCAGTTATCAAAGCCAGACTTAGTAGCTTAAAACAACAAACTTGTATAAATTTATGATTTTGTGAGTTAGCAGTTTGGATTGCTCTCAGCTAGCCAGTTCTGTCCGTCTCAGCAAGGCTCGCTGATGCTTCTACAGTCTGCTGGCTGTCAGTGCCCTCACTCAAATGTCCATTGGTTGGCTGTCAGCTAAGCACTGGGCCGCCCAGCAGGCTATCCTGGGCGCATTCAGTGGTGATGGTCACACTTCAACCCTGATGCAGTTCTTTTGGCTCTTCATAAAACAGTGAAGAATAGTATGTCTAGTTTTCAGTGGTTTCTTCTTTGGATTTTGGGTTTTGTAGCCGTCATCTTCTGTTACCGAGATCTCTTCTAACTTTGTTCCACACAGCTAATGAGAACAGCGGCTGATACACCTGCTATCATGAATTGGGACTTATTTTTCACAATGAAGAGAAATACCAAAGTCGTAGACTTGGACATGTTTAAGGATCACTGTGTCCTATTCCTGAAGCACAGCAATCTACTTTATGTCAATGTGATTGGCCTGGCCGATGATTCAGTTCGGTCTCTAAAGGTATGTTGATCAAGAGACAATACTGTTAATCAAAGTACTTGCTGTTTGGCTTCACCAGAACATCGAATTTTGAATAATAGCAATGTACTTTTTCTTAAAAGAATTAATTTAAATTAAATGGAATTTAGCACACTAGGTCTTTATCAGATGGAGGAGGTATGTCTCTTTCGTATATCTCTCTATATCACATGTTTCTACAGCTTTAGATACAGTAATAACTCAGGTCAGCTTGGCAGCTAGTGTCTAACCACTGCCTGCTGCTCCACCCCACACCCCCAGTAGGACTAGTAAGTCGTGCCCACTGTGTTTGTGCCATCACATGGTTGCATCTTTATCAACTCTCTGCCATTTTTCTTGCCCAGGGCATCAGGAAGGGTGAACTTTGGTTTCTTTCAATAAGGGGGTGGCAGTGGTCTCTACTACAACAGCTGCGATGCTAGCACAGCTCCCTGGCAGGCTGACTCGCTGGTATTGCCTGTGGCTGCCAGGAAAGATAATCTGCCTCCACAAGCGAACTTATAATGGCACCCTTATTGCCCAGTTTTAAAGCAGCATCAACATGTGCATTAAGATATCAGACACTGAAGGGAAGAGGAGAGGCCTCCATTTTGCTTGATACGGAAAGTGCTGTGGGGCCAGCTGACCAGCAAGCATAGACCACTTACATCTCCCTAACTGCAGTGTTCTCACTTCTATTAAAGTGCAGTTCCAGGAAATTCACTGGTGGTTATTGAACTTCTATGTGCAAAGTACTGTATTGGGCACTCTGGAGTGGAAAGACAGCAGGACAAAATATCTGGCCTTAAGGAACGTGCAGTTTATCATGAGATTGGATGAGTACACAAAGAGTTAGGTATAAGGTAGATTTAAATAAGTATCAAGAATAAAGGAGATTAAAAAAAATCACTGTTAGGATACCACAGCAATAGTTGTGGCAGGCAAGATCCACCAATGGATGCTAAAAACAATGGGCATAAGTTTAAGGATAGATTATTTTCCCAGTCTTCATAAAAGGACTAGTATCACCCACAAAATATTTATTAACTACAATAGGAAAAACCACTTTACAGTGAAAAACCTGGCAAGAGATCAAGATTGACATCACAAGTAATAATATCTTTTGACATGTACTCCTCTCTGGTATTCTTGCTAGAAATGTAGAACCACAGTTTGTTCGTGACGAAACGTCAGACAAATCCAAACAAGAAGACATTCTGCCAGATAATTACCCCTTGTTCAAAATTACTTCTACGTCCTTAAAGTCAAGGAAAGGTTGAGGAAGTCTCATAGATTGGAGGACACTAAGTAGACGTGACAACTAATGCAATGTGGAATCCTAAATTGGATCCTCGGACAGAAAAAGGATATTAGTGGAAACATATTGGTGAAGTTGAATAATGTCTATAGTCTGGTTAATAGTAAAAAATAATAATTGCATCTCAGCCTTTTGGCTATGATCAGGTGTAATAGTAAAAAATAATAAATAAGTGGTATCAAAAACACAAAATCTGCTGTGGGGCCCAAAGGAGAGGAAGAGGGCCCGAGAAAGCTTTTTATAGGGCAGGTAGAATTTGAAATAAACCAGAAGACAGGTAGGATTTTGCTGGGGAGGGAGGGGAATGGTATTCGAGGATGAGAAAGTATCCAGTGAAGTGCAAAGCTGGAGAAGTTCAGAAAATGTCCCGGAAACTGCTAGTAATTCTGTTTTATTGAAGCAGAACAAATTTCTGGGGGATGAAGCTATGATTTGACATTTTCTGATTGTCAAGGTGATGAATTTGTGCATAAGTTATGAAGAGGGGGAAATTTGAAATTTGGGGACAGCGGGATGATTGAGAAGTGAGCTATACTTCATGAGGTTATCCGGCGGCCACGTTAGGGTACACTGAAGCAACAAGAGAAGGGGCAGGGAGGTTAGTCTTGAGATTGTTACAGTGGTATGAAATAAGAAATTACAAGGGCCTAAATGACCAAAAATTTCCAACTGCCTCATAAAATCAAATCATCAAATGTAATGTCTGGTGTCTTAGAGGACTATATAGTTGTTCTAAAACAAAAATGGCGATTTTACTTTAGCAAATCTTTATTGCTGTCATCTCCTGGATTCAAAGTGTGTTTTCTTACTTGCTAATTGATGCCAAATTCAGATATCTTTAACTGGGAAACCTACTGCAATCTGTGTGAATACAGTTGGGAGAAAATATATCATTTCTAGCAGTGCATTTATTACAAAATTCTGTCAAGAAAATTAGGAATGTCATGAGTTTGCTATAATAAGATTTGACTTCTAAGTAAATGTGACCTTTTCTGTTTTTTGTCAGTATTTCTGTTTTTCATGGTTTTAACTGCCATTAGAACAAGCATCATGTCTTTAATTTATTCTGTATCCTCTACTTTATTCCCACCCCTTCCCACCCTGTAGTACCTTGTGCCACATATGCTGTTCTGAGTCATCACATGGGATCAAAGACTACATTCTGTGCCAGGTGCTGCTTAAAGAGAATTCACAGATCAGGGCCTTTTCATGAACTGTGTAACACTGGTTAATATGCATGGACAGCGCCATATACAAAGCACAAAAAGTCTTTGTGCCAATTTTCTTTCAGCATTTACATTTTAATCATTCTTTCTATACAATGACTATGATTTTCTGGTAAAATTCTAAAGCTGAACCTATTCTGTCAGTTATCTAGGCATATCTTTCTGCATGTCACCTGGCCAACTTACTCTTGGGTGCTCTTAATATTCGTGGATAATACGAATGGGAAACGTGGCTTAAGTTATTCTTGAGATCATTAATACCTTATTTCTGCAGCAGCTGGACAGACTTTTAAAAGTCTACAGCCTTGGAACATTTTTTTTTATGATTAAAACTTTAACCTTGGTCCAGTAGTTTAAGAAATACACCAAAAAGACTTTTTGATTTATTGGAACCACTTGGTGTAACACTGAAACAGCTTAGTACATGGATCACATGGAAACTTTTAAAATCTCACCACAGAGTAGGAAAGCCTGTGCCTCTATGGGCTGAGGACCCTTGTACCGTCAACCTGAGGCCTCGTTACAAAGTTAGTAGCAGTGCTGCTTTGTTTCCCACTAAGGTCTCAGTTTTCTCACTTCATTCCTGCTACCAGATTTCCCAACTTTCATGATTACAGTTTTCTTTCTGGTTATGGCTTGTGTTGAAATATATTGCCCTGGAAAATAATCCTCAATCTGAGGAGAATAAATATTGCAAAGAATAAATATTGTAAAGAAATATTGCAAATGTATGTCCTTACTAATGTTTCAGGAAAATAGGTTCTTTGGATTATTACAAGAAATTTGTTCTGTAAATATAAGCTCTTTGGCAGTCGTTTCTACATGTTAAATGCTGCGCTCTTTATGCACACATCCCCCACCTATCCTTTCTGAATAGTGCCCACCAGTGACTTTGCTGTGCCAAGACCTCTGATTTTCTAAGGAATTTGCTCTTTCTGCAATTATTCAGGAAACGAAAGGCAATTTTCTTTTAATGTTCTGACTCTCGGTACCATTTCTAAGACAGTCGGCCTGCTTGCCAGAGTTCTTTAAAAGGTGTAAGAAGGATGTTAGTGGAAGGCTTGAAGCAGGACCCTGCTGCTCTGAGAGAATAAATTTTGATTCCTTTCCTTTTTTCTTAAAGTTAAGAATCTTAATCATAATAGCTCAGTCTTTCAGAGTGAATGTGCGGTAAAGGTTTTGTTCTGCACAATGGTTAGCCTGGGAGCTAAAGTTAGAAACAAATGGTAAATGCGTTAGTGCTGCTGAGCCAGTCTGTAGCCCTGGAGTAATAACTGTCATCACTGTGGCCGTCCAGGCAGCAGAGTACGGGCTGGTGGGTAAATTATTAAAAATATGTCTGAGATTTCATGTTCTGTGAGGACAGAGATCTTGGAGATGTCACTTGGTTCTGAATTACTTTTCGATTTGCTCTTACTAATACTTCTGCTATTATTTTATTGCCCAAGGTTATACCCCAAAACAAACTTTAGAGATTTCATGTAAATTCAGAATCATGGTAAACCGTTTTCTTATCATTTTTCCTTATTTTATTGGTCATTAGGGTAGAGTTGTGTTTTTTACTTGAAGTCTATTTTGTTGTGCTAAAGTAATCCTTAAATGAAGCATGATGTCATAATGGATAGAAGTAAATTTGATGTTCACATTATCTTGTTTGAAGCGGACCCAAAAATTTAATTAATGATACTTAGTGTCTAGATAAAGAGTGAAAATAACTTTTATTTCTTTAGCTCCCTCCTTGGGCCTGTGGATTCATAATGGATACAAATTCAGACCCAAAGAACTGTCCCTTTCAGCTTTGCTCTCCAATACGCCCCCCAAAATATTACACATATAAGTTTGCAGAAGGCAAACTGTTTGAGGAAACTGGGCATGAAGACCCAATCACAAAGACTAGTCGTGTTTTACGTCTAGAAGCCAAAAGCAAGGTAAGTCGTAATCTCCACTATCAGCCCTAAATGGGGGCTGAAAGCCTACTTACTATTTGTCAAGTGCTGTGCAATTTCTGGGTTTACAGTTTGTTAAAGTTTTGTAATTATTATACCACAAATGGAAGCTAAATTCTTGGAGAGCCAAGGGACTCTTTAAGAAGGAAGCACCTGCTGAGCGGGCTGCTGTAACTTTGCAGGCATTCGGGACTGCTGACGATCTCTGGGACCCAGCCCATTGCAGGACTTGCCACCATCCTGACCTCTTCCTTTTCAACCAGCAAATATTTCTCTGCTTGTTTAATTGAAGTTGGGGAGGAGGCAAGGAGATGAAAAGACCAAGGTTATTTTATAGAAAGTAATCTACATCGTTTTAGAAGCATGAATCATACTGAGAACTGAAAGTTCAGTTACTGGTGCCCCTAAGGGAGGCTTTCAAATGAGAATGAAAAACATAGGGAAAGTGGCTCAGTGGTCTTCTTTTCCTTATGTAAACTAGTGCTATTTCATTCATTTCTGTAGGCAGGGTGAGAACCAACTTTCCCACCTTTTTCTGTGAAAGGAAGATCAGAAGTAGTTCAGATTATCTGAATTTTGTCTGTCCAGAGAGTGCCTAGTTTCAGTCAATTGGGATTGATGAATGTGAACTACACCGGGGAATAGTTATTTGCCCTAAAAGTAACTTAGGCGTTAAAATTTATAAAACTTACTTTTAAACACTTTAAAGTTCAGTAGGCCTTTGAAGAGGATGTGTGTGGGTATTGGGGAATAGTTACTTGCCCTAAAAGTAACTTAGGCGTTAAAATTTATAAAACTTACTTTTAAACATTTAAAAAATAAAGTTCAGTAGGCCTTTGAAGAGGATGTGTGTGGGTATAGGTGAGTATGAGATTTCAGGTACTAATGTTTGAGAATTATGTCCATAGAGGACAGAAAGTTGAGCTGTTAAAACATCTTTAGCTTGTCTACTTGTACATATCTAAAGATGAGAGGTGCTGGTATGTAGCCTTCGGTACAGAAAGAATGCTGTGCTAGTATGTCTAACGTTATAGGCACTTGGGCTTGTCCTGAAAGAAAAGACTTACAGTATTACTGGGTAGTGAAGAACTCTCTAGAATCACCTATCACAAAAGCTGCAATGATTAAAGTATATCCAAGTCAGAGTCTTCTTGCTTTTTTCTAGTTAATATTATAGGTCAGCCAAGTAACTGAAAGTATCATGATGGATGTTAGAGACCATAACTCTTTGTCTTAATTAAATGAAGTTTCTGCTCAACATCAATAAGTAGGACATAATATAGGGGATAGAACTATTTGAAAATACTCTCCTGTACATGCATAGTAAATCTTCATTTCCAGGATGGAAAATTAGTGCCAATGACTGTTTTCCACAAAACGGATTCTGAGGACTTGCAGAAAAAACCTCTCCTGGTACATGTATATGGAGCTTATGGCATGGATTTGAAAATGAATTTCAGGCCTGAAAGGCGGGTGTTGGTGGACGATGGATGGATATTAGCATACTGCCATGTTCGGTGAGTCGGCACATTTAACCTGGCGTGAATGCTAGAGCACTGTGACAGATGTGTAACAGTGTATCAGGAGCAGAAGTTTATTTTTTCATTTGTATTGTTGAATTTATGTATTCCTAAACCTAGGCTGGTGGAACTTGATTCAGTAACGTAAGTTGATCCAAAAAGGTACGTTTTTTAGGATTTTGTGCCAGATATTTAAGATTTTTAGAATCACACCAATCTCTTTACTTATTTAATAATATTATTTCCATTTAATTCTGCTGAGTGTAGGTTTTTCTAAAATAGCCTCTTGAGCTGAACTCCTTTTTTCCATTCTAACTTTCATTTTATTTTAGCTGTTTTCAAGATACAAATATTTTGTTTGTACTTAAAATCCTTCACTATCTCTCCATCACCATAATAAAAATCCAAATTTCTCAGTATAGTATTTAACATCCTAATGATCTCGCTTATCTCTATAATGGCATCTGCCATCACTCCCCACACACATCCTGTGCTCCCGCCATACATGTCCTACACAGCCAGCCTTGCTGCGTCCTTTCAGGTGACAAGCTTCTTTCCCTTGAACATGCTGTGTCTTGGTGCCTTCCCTTTGCCCTCTGGGAACTCATACTCTTCCTTCAAGACTCAGCTTAGGTATTATCTCCATCTTAAGCATTGCTTGGTAGCTGTTTTCTTTCCCCACAAAATTATAATCTCCAGGGCAGGAGATTTTTGCTTAGTTATATTTTTATGGCCTTTATTTAGCACAATGTCTGGTAAATAGTAAGCAGGCACTCAAAACATCTGTTGAATCAATTTTTGATTGTCTGTACCGGGGGTTAGCAAACTTTTTCTCGAAAGAACTAAATAGTAAACATTTTAGGCTTTGCAGCCCACAAGGATCTGTGCTGCATATTCCTGGTTGGGATTTTTTGAAAATGAAAACCATTCTTAGCTTAAGGGCCATATAAAAACAGGCGTCCGGGTAGATTTGGGCCACAGGCTATAGTTTGCTGACCCCCTGACCTATATTATTAATATTTTTCCCCCCCACTAAAACCTTTTTGCCCTTTAATTTCAGGGGTGGTGGTGAGTTAGGCCTCCAGTGGCACGCTGATGGCCGTCTAACTAAAAAGCTCAATGGCCTTGCTGACTTAGAGGCTTGCATTAAGACGCTTCATGGCCAAGGCTTTTCTCAGCCAAGTCTAACAACCCTGACTGCTTTCAGTGCTGGAGGGGTGCTTGTGGGAGCCTTGTGTAATTCTAATCCAGAACTCCTGAGAGCTGTGACTTTGGAGGTGAGTACACTCTGTCTCTGTTTACAGAATAGGGAGGCATGAAGCCATAGACTGCCCTAAGGGAAAAAAAATCTGTTTTACCATAGCATATGAGTATAACAGAGCTTTTAAATTTTAAACACAGAGTCATAGCTCTGGGTGAACTTCTAAAGTTATTTTAATCCAGCTTTACTCAACTTTAATCCAATCCTTTACTTACTCCTCCCTGACAGTGTTCTTTATTAATTTTTAAGGATTTTCACTGAAGGATATCAGTGGCTATCCCCATTGATCATTTTTATTTGTAAGCATATTTGAAGTTGGTGGGAGGGATAGAACATTAATGTGTAGTTTTTCTGTACTTCAGTTGAAATACCTTGTTCTGAAAATGCTCGATAACCTTTTCCTGGTCCCCAAGCTTATGAAGTGATAGCAGCTCACTTCACTTCTGTCGTTCTCCTGCTGCTTGGTTAGATGATCTAGGAAATCTAATGACTGAGATGAACAGAGTAAATTATGTTCAGATATGTTTTTTATTTTGAGGGTATGGGGTATACACTGTGGGTTTGTGTTAAGTAAATAAGTAATTCTGAACTATACATCTATTTTTTCACTAGAAATACTAAGTTTAGGGGAAGAGAAACCTATCAACAGAGATAATAATGGCAGATTATCTGCAGTGTAAGAAAATGCAACTAATCTTTGACTTTTAGAAATTAGAAAGGAAATCAGAAATGCAGGGGAAAGGATATTTATCCCACATTGCATATAATAATAAAGAATTGAAATCTACCCATATGTCCAACAATAGAGCATCTGTGTATGAGTCAGTTCTTAATTAGAAGCACCAGAACCGACTTCTGACTAATTTAGCAGGAAAAGGATTTATTAAAGCGACCGGGTGAGGGTGGTGTGTGTAGAACCAGTCTTAGAGGCCGCACAGCCAGAAACATGTCCAAAGTATACCATTAAGGTATCCCATGAAGCTGTCACTGCCGCCCCTGCTAGGCACCAGTCACCTCACACTGCTAGTGTTGCTAGAAACTCGATAAAGCCATGGCAGTTTTGCCAGAATCAATTCTCTGTGGTCCTTACTTCTTTGAGTCACTAGCTTCCCATTCAGAGTTTGGAGCACATTATGTCTGATAGGTGGACCTAAGTCATGTGGCTCCTCCTGCGCTGCAGGGAAGCTGGGAAAGGACCTGCCTTCCACAGTGAGAGGCAGGCTCTGTCTCACAGATCTGGGATACTCTAGATGCAGAGAAGTTCAGATGCTAGGCAGCCAGAAAGAATCACGTTTGCCCACTATACGTGGTGAAATGTTAATATGAGAGAAAGCTGAAAAGCATGTTATCAAGACTACAGGGCTAAGTGAAAAAAGCAGCTGCCATTTTGTTAAATTAACACTGGTTATATCGTGGTAAATTCACAAAATGTACCTCTTCACCATTTTTAAGTGTACAATGCAATAGTATTAAGTACATTCACACTGTTGCAAAACCAGTTTCCAGAACTCTTCATAGTGCAAAACTGAAATTCTGTACCCATTAAGTAGCAACTCTCCAGTTCCCTCTTCCCTAGCCCCAGGAACCACCATTTTACTTTCTGTCTCTGTGGATTTGACTAAGGCACCTCCTATAAATGGAATCATACATTATTGTCTTTTTATATCTGGTTTATTTCACTTAGATACTGTCCTCAAGGTCCGTTCATGTGGCATGTGTCAGAAATTCCTTCTTTAATAGAAGTGAGGTGGTAGCATTTATCACTTTTACATAAAAATGTATATATATGAATAAAAGGCACAAAATTTGTGAAATCAGAATATAAACTCTTCCGTTTTATGTAAATGTGACTTAAGGGGTCTGAATACCTTAAAAACCAGTTGTAAATCACAGGCACTGGGAATGAGTGTAGCTCCTGGGAATCTACATGAGCTTTGTTCTCTGGGGTCAGCATGTGAATTCATAAAGTATATTTCCCTGAAACTCGTTTTACCAACGTATTAGTCAAAGTTTAAGTCCCTTTGGATTTTTTTTTTTAGGCACCTTTCTTGGATGTTCTCAACACCATGATGGATACTACACTTCCTCTGACATTAGAAGAATTAGAAGAATGGGGGAATCCTTCATCTGATGAAAAACACAAGAACTACATAAAACGTTACTGCCCCTATCAAAATATTAAGCCTCAGGTAGTGAAAGACAGTTATGAGGTTACTATATCATATGGAGGTGACAGAGAAGATAATCATAAGTATAGTCACCTGAGCTGAGGCCAGAATTCAGTAGACCCTTAGATAATACCCAAACACCTTCCAGCACCATCTCAGCACATATCCCATTTTTGTTTCATTAAAGTCATGGTCTCTCTAGATAAGAAAAAGCTATTCCAGATAACTAGTAGTCTAGTACTGTAATATTATAGATCTCCCAAGAATATCAAATAAGAAAAAAAAATCTAGCATTTAGGTGGAAAAATTGGAAGTAATTATTTTTCATAATCTATAAGGCAGAAAGGGCCATAAGGAATAATATACATTTGTACATCAATTTTCTTGCAGCATTACCCTTCGATTCACATCACAGCTTATGAAAATGATGAACGTGTACCTCTGAAAGGAATTGTAAGCTATACTGAGAAACTCAAGGAAGCCATTACAGAGCATGCTAAGGACAGCGGTGAAGGTAGGAGACCACCTCGAAGCAGGGGACACAGCTAAATGGACTGTTACCTTAGCATACCTCTCAGAGTGATACATTTTGTACAGACCAAATCATCACCCCATGATTTTGGACAGATAATTGTTTTTCCTACATTGACTACTCATCAAAGCACATATTATGGCAGAATATAACTGCCTCACCCCTTTTTCAAAGGACGGTATTAAAATAAGGTAGGCAGGGCACATAAAAAAGTAAATTTAAATATCACATATAAATTGGAGATGTACTGTCATACAGCCATTCATTCATTCTTGGGAACCTCTAAAAAAACAAGTTCTGAAGTTTGCTCGGATTAGCGGCTTTAATTTTTCTCTAGATCTTTGTATTATGTCAAACAAGAGCTCTTACCTTTTTCCTTGCCAAGACAAGCCAAGACCTTCAGGACTTGGTGGAAGGGACCCACATTCACGTTTTCAGACAGTTGCCCTGTGTCCAGTGCAGCCTCTCACCACTGCTATTGTTGGTGCTTCCGGGTCTCAAGACTCTCAGACTCCACAGAGCCAGTTGGCTTCCTCCGTGGTCACAATTTTCTCCATGTGACCCTGCAGTCTCTTCATCCAGCTTCCTTAGCCACTGATCATCCTCCGGCTTTCCCTGTTTCAGAAATGTGTCTTCTGCTTGCCCCCTCCCATCTCTCTGTTGGTGGTGATGGAAGGCCCTTCTTCCTTCACTATTATTTTAATAGATTACTTGGAAAGAGAGAGGAGAAATGGGCCTCAGTTGGCCAAAAACTTCCTAATTGTTTCATATATTAACTCGTTTCAGGCTACCAGGCCCCCAATATTATCTTAGACATCCAGCCTGGAGGCAACCATGTGATTGAGGATTCTCACAAAAAGGTACGTTGTGCAGCCCCTCAGTTGACAGGTCCCCAGGCAGAGCTGTGTTGCACTCCACGTTTCAGTGTTTGGGGCGGGGTTTACGGCAGCTGCTTTACGATGGTCAGGTCTGTGACTGAGACCCACAAGGATTAGGAAGAACATTGAGTCATCGAGAGAAGAGGCTTTCTCTGGTGTTTGTGAGCTCTGTTCAAGTAATGGAATCTTAATTGTTGGGAGCCTTCTCCCTCTTTCCCAAGTAAAAGAAAAGTATCCCTGCTATACATTGCTGACTTCAGGGTTAGGTAAGATGAACAGAGAGACTGCACACTGGGGTTTTACTACAAAGGACTTCTAATTTTTTTTAATTTGTCTCTTTTAGATTACAGCCCAGATTAAATTCCTGTATGAGGAACTTGGACTTGACAGCACCAGTGCTTTCGAGAATCTTAAGAAATATCTAAAATTCTGAAATGATATATTCAGTGGGAATTGGAAACATTGAAATATTTCCTAGTTTTATTTGCAATTGGGTTAGCAAAAGAGATTTTTTTTTTTAAGTTAGTAATTTATAAAAATTTGCTTCTCTATCCAAATTTTGTTTAGTGTACATCTCACTCACTCTGTTCTCTCCTTGATGTATGTGCCCCACAACGTAGGAAAGTCGTTTTCTAATCATGCTTAGGACGGGAGCAGAGGGTGAGAGAAGGGTTGGTGACAGCAGAACTCTCCCTTCTCCCCATCAGAACAGCCTCGTTTTTGTAATTTACAGAATAAGAACATTCTTCACATTAAAATGCATTAGATCTTTCTAATAACCTGGAGTCCTAAGGTTATCTCTACTGATGCTATGTCAGTGAAGTTACAAGGTCCTGCATGTGATGATTTTCTTTTAAACACTTTATTCTTTCAAAACATTTGAGAACCTTTCTTAAAGCAGTTACATTCAAGCTACAGAAATACCTGAAAATTAATGACTGTTCATAAAGTTTACCCAGCAGCACACTCTACACGAAGTTGCTGTAAGTAGAACAGAAAGCCAGTGTCCCCATCTCTCGCAGAGGTGTCTAGCACAGGCTGTACAGTATGTTTAACACGCTGGAGTAGCACGCCCGGTTGGAAACGAAGCATGTGTCTCTGAAGTCTGTTTGGTGGTGAAGGAAAGTCTTCGTGTTGTATTCAAGGATGAGGCCTTCTCCCTTGCCCAGTGAAATGGCTTGTGTATCAACGTCCCTTCCTTTGTTGGTGGAATTGGTACTTAATCTTATCCTCACTTTTGTGGGAATATTTGAAATCGTTTCCTTTAGATTTAGCAGTGATGATTCTCCAAAATTCAGAACCATGAGGAAGATTCTGTCTATGCCATCCATTTCTCTTGTGTACACAACAAACTGGCTGTCAGTCCTCAAGTAGCAAAACCAGCCCCTGCTAAGGAGCAGCTCATTAGCATGAAGCAAACTTAATTCTTGATATAACGTTAATGTTGATCTGGGCTGAGTCTTTTGGACCTATTTTTTAAAAAAGTATTAAGATAAATATGTGAGTCTGATTTTTTAAAAATATTTTTAGTATCAAATAAGAAATTTTCCCAAAAATCTTGCTTCAGTTTGCCCCTTAACATAATTACCAATTGTAAGTTTAACTCCTGATAGAAATTGCAGATGCAGGGTTTCCCCTTGGCCAGAGCTGATGTAGAGACCAAATTGGATTCCACTTTAGGAATCCTGAAACAATGTCCATGTCTGAGTTAAAGGACAGTGAACTTCCCTAAGTCAAGTCCATTTATGCTCTATTGTAATTGGCAAGAAAGCTGCCCTGCTGGCACTGACAGAACTGCTGGTGAACTGGGCGTCTCTGTCCCCTTTGTAGAATAACGGGGACATGCCACACTTCAGCAGACAGGTGTTTCTTGCGTAGCTAATGAGCGGAAAGTTGCAAAAAGCAATGCAGAGCAAAACACTGACTGAAGTAAAGTTTGTACTTTTTTTAAAACCATAAAAGTAACATACATAATTTAATGTATTTCTCTTTTTTCCCTTTAACATTTCAAGCATCTTCTATTATTTTATAACTCCATAAATGTCCTTTTTTAATGGCAGAATAGTATTCTATTGAATGGTTCCATCCTATTGACAGGTTACCATTCCCTGTCATTCAGCACTCAAGTTTCCAGTATTTTCTTACAGTCTTAGTGCCCCCCAAATTTGGATTATTTATTTAGGATATAAATATCACAAAGACAGTTACTATGTCAAAGCTTGTGGACACTTGATGCATAATGCCAAATTATTGTCTGTCAGAGCCGTTGACAAAGCAGTGACGTTCACTTCATTGCACGCCTGCCAGCCGTGCTGACTGCAGTGGTTTTGCTGGTGGCTGTTTGGGGCAGGTGCCTACTGTGTAGTCTAATGAATGTCTAATGGATGTTTAAAATATGTTTTTTCTCTGTTTACCAAGTACAAAGGTATTTATGGTACATGTATATGTATTTGACCTGTCGAATTACTGTTAAAATTTCCTGTAGCCTTAGTTAATGCATGAAAAAGCAGAGTTCAGTGCCACTCACATAAGAAGTGCCCAGTAAGTGTTAACTATTATTTTTGCCTACTTGACTTACCACTTCCTAGAAGTATGTTGAAGTGTCTCTCTGTAATTGTGGATTTGCCAGTTTCTCTCTGCATTTCTCAGAGTACTTGTTTTATATATTTTGAAGTTATTGTTAGATGCATAGATTCATGATTTGTAGTGGAATGTTCTTTTATCCATTTTTTAAAATTTGCCTTTGTCTCAGTGCTTTTCATACTGAATTCTATTTTGTCTGCCATTAAATATTTCCAGACCTGCTTTTTGTAACTGTACTTTTTTTAATAGAAAATGCATGTATACAGTATAAAACTCAGTTATAAGAACAGTATATAAATATATAAAATAAGCTTTTCTTCAACACCATCCCCTAGCTTCCCAGTCCCCTCTCAGAGACAGACACTGCTGCTGTTTATGTAGTCTTTCATTTCTGTGTATCATGAAATGAGCCGTTCTGTGCCTGTGCAAACATATCTAGACATACTTCTTACACAAATAGTGGCATGTTACCATTCTGTACTGTTTTTTATTATTTAGTACATGTTAGAGGTGGTCTCATATCAACACACATAGAACCTCCCTCGTTCTTTTTAAAAGTTGCATATTATTCCATTGTATAGATTAACCATAACTGATTCAGCTGGTTGTCTGTTGATACATTTCAGTCGTTTCCAGACTCTTCTATTAAAAACAATGCTTCAGTGGAGATTCTTGGCCAGGAGGCAAGCTTTCTTTTTGTTAGCATTGTCTTCAATGTGTGCACTTTCATTCTGTGTCCTTTGGTTTAACTATACCTTATCTGAGAGTTTTTATCTTTTAATAAGTAAATTTAACCCATTTCTATTTGTAGTTACTGTATGTTTAGATATAATCCTATAGCCTAATTTTCTCTTTAATTTACAGTTGTACTTTTTTTCTTTTCTTCCTTTTTAGCTTTTTATTGGATCAGTTGGTTATCTTTATGTAATTTTTCTCCTAATCTTCTCTGAAAATTACATAGTCATGTCTGTTCTAATGATTACCTTTAAAATTGTAACGGCCATTTTAAAATATATTTTCATGTTTTATATGGTAGCCACTAGCTACTGAACACTTGAAATGTTACTAGTGTGACACAGGAACTGGATTTTTAATTTTATTTAATAGTCACAGTGTTTAGGAAATTTGTTTCCTAACTTGATCACCATGAAAACGGAAAAGAGTAGAGGCAAAAACCAAAGGGTGTGCTTTTCTAGAACAGCTACTGCTAGGGATTGTCCGTGTCTTCAGTTCCTTCAGGTGTGCAGGCTTGCTCTCAAGGCCCCGCTACCTTAGACTTTGCGAGCTCCTTCCTCCCTCCCTTCCTTTTGAGGGGAGGAAAGGAGGAAGGATAGCAAGGCTTTGCTGACAGACCTCCATAAATTTCCTTAACATCCCAAAGCCCTTGGCCTCTCCAATGAAGAGTTGTATATTCTGTGTGATAGTTCAAATGGTCCACTTTGTACCAGTTTGTATTTTCACAAAAACATGACTTGAAAACTGCAAGAGAAGTCTATGTGGTTGATTTAAAGAGCGTCAGTTAAGGTTTTAGACTCAGGGCAAGTGTATGTTACTAGCACAGAAACTCATTTCCTATTTCTAGAATCAGCATAAAATTTTGTTTGATACTTACATCAACATTCACAGTGTCGTAATCTGTACTGGTGGGCAACCAGGTGTGGCTGCCTTCAGAAAAACCCGCGTTGGAGCTATTGTCCCACTGCATTGGTGACTTCGAGAGAAGGGTATCCTATTTCAGAGGACCATAAAGAGAAATCAGGGGCCTGGTTATCAAATGAAATGTAATTTGGCCATGATTTACTTCATAATTATTTCATTTCCTATACTTGTATTCATTAGCATTCATAATGAAAAGGCCTTAACATTCAACATGTAACCAGTTTCACACTTTAAATTGGAAAGTAGTTAATGGCATCTTGAGTTTGATATACGCTTTGACTCTTCGCTGCTTTTCACTAAAAATGAGGAATGTAGGATTTCAAAATGTGCCATTACCAACTCATTCTACTGTGACACAGTGATGATGGTGGATTCACATGTGCAGCCATGTCCAGGTGAGCCTACATTCTGTCGTATTTACCCAGCCTGGTTATTGCACACGCGTGCACACACAGATTTAGGAGCTGAAATAGAAGAGGTTTCCTTTGACCAAATATTAGGGAAATTGGATCTCATACAATTGAAAGCTAATCATATAAATTATAGGCTCAAGATTATTTGTCTACCCAGAACACAGCTCTGAGATCCACAGCCTGAAACAAAAGCAAAATGAAAACCACCCAAGTCTGAGGCTGTCCATTACTTTTGTTAAACTAACAGGAAGAATCTTTGTGCTGTGGTCAAGTGAGTTCTAGCAATACCCACAAGCACTGTAAATAAATGTCTCTGCACCTAGAGAGGGCGATGAATAATATTCCAACTCAAAGCTGGTTCTCAAATTTTAGAATCAGAATCAGCTGGGAACCATCTTTCAAATGCAGATTCCTTGCCCAACCAGGCGTGGCTCAGCAGTTGAGCATCGACCTAGGATCCAGGCGATTGGGGTTCGATTCCCAGTCAGGGCACATGCCCGGTTGCGGGCTTGATCCCCAGTCGGGGGCATGCAGGAGGCAGCCGGTCAGTGACTCTCTTGTCACTGATGTTTCTCTTCCTCTCTCCCTCTTCTTTCCTCTCTCTGAAATCAATATATAGTTAATAAAATAAAATGCAGATTCCTGTCCCTGGCCAGGTAGCTCAGTCGGTTAGAGCATCATCCCGATACACCAAGGTTGCGGGTTCAGTCCCTGGGCAGGGCACATACAAGAACAAATAGGTTTCTATCTCTGAAATCAGTTTATGAATAAATAAAATGCAGATTCCTGGGCTCTACACAAGAAATTACATTGTGTGTCTCATTTTTAACAAGCTCCCCAGCCAAGAAAGCTGAGAATTCTCACTGTCCTAACAGTAATTTTCAGCTGTCGAATAGAAATAGTAAATTCTCTGGGCAAAAATGAGTATATGGTATGGTGCATGGTAAAATTATATTAACTTACAACATTATAGCTTTCGTTGAGATTTGTGGCTAAAATATTTCTCATTCCTATTTCTTCCCCATAGTAAGTAACGGGAGTTCCGGGAAGTGTGAAAACAAGCATGTTCATGATGTTGACGTACTCTTGCCCCAAACGAGAAGTCAGCCGTGCAGTGTCTGGTCCTCCAATCTAAAAGGCACATATTTTTAAGAACACAACTCTACACAGTTTTCCAAATTTACCATTTCACAAAAAAGTTCAGGCAAAAAGCAAGGTGGTTACCTTGGGCACCTTGGTATCAGCGAGCCTGGATTTCAGTCCCAACCTGCTGCTTGCTGCTTGCTTAACTGACCAATTTACTGTGTTAGCCATTAGGATCGACAAAATAATTTACTTCACAGTGATACTGCAAATCAGGTAAGATTTATGAGGGCACCTACTCATATTTTTGCACATTTGGGTAAGAATATTGACAGGAAAGGAAACAAAAATGTTTCCCATAGAAAGCAGGGACAAGGGTAGGAGAAAGACTTCCAGTGTGTGTGACCTTTGAATTATTCAAAACAAGTTTTAAATTAAAAGATAAATCAACTTTTACAAAGAAATTTACATAGCCATGTGGGAATTTTTTGTCAAGTTTTCTATTTTTAAATATATTTCTATGTTAAATTCTCCAATTACATATTGTAACATCTAGGCCTTATTTAAGAGTTCGTTTAGCCCCAGCCAGCGTGGCTCAGCGGTTGAGCATCGACCTAGGATGAGGGAGATTGCGGTTCGATTCCCGGGCAGGGTACATGCCCTGGTTGCGGGCTCGATCCCCAGTCGGGGCGTGACTCTCATCATTGATGTTTCTATCTCTCCCTCTCCCTTCCCTCTCTCTGAAATCAATAAAGACATTAAAAGAAAATTTTAAAAGTTCATTTAAATCACCTAACAACTCTTTCCATATACTATAACTCTTGATGACATGGGCTCTGAGAAACTGCATCATTTATTCAAGTCAGGGAATGAGGCAGAGCCAGCCTTTGAACTTGAGTCTGAGGACAGGAACTTAGTTGCTACAATTCAGGAAAAGGGAGGCAGCTTTTTTCCTTTAGATGTACTAAAGTTATCTTTACAATGATCTTTTATAGGTCACTGTAAAGTATTTTTCTATTTTTAAGGACAGAAAATTAGGTCAAATTTTGCCTCTATTATTTTCATTATCTTAAGAGCATCTGACGAGAAACCCTATGATTTTCAAGCCTTCTGGACTAGAGCACTTTCTTTCAGAACTATTTCTACAGGTAGTTCACAACAGTAGACAGAGATCAGGGCCTCCCACAGGCTGAGGGGTCCCAGTCAACTATGATACCCTAGACCTTCAGTATATGAAAAAACAGGTGCTAAAATGACATAAAATTTGTGATATGGGGGCACTTCTGGAATGGTGTAGTAGAGACCTCCAAAAGTCTTCACCATGAAAGGAGAATGCTGGCAAAACCTAACTCCACTTTTTCAGAACTCCGGAAATTAAAGGCTTACGACAATCCACCAAATTATTTATTCAAGGAAAACGGATGTCAGAACGGCAAGCTTTGTGTTGTTTTAACTTGCCCTAATCTCATGTCCCTCCAAGCAGATCTGTGGTCACCTTGAAAACCAACAGACTTGTAACTACAGTAGCTGTCGCAGAATAGGTTTAGAATTCACCAAAAGCTTCACCTCTAGAGAAGTTTCACTGTCTGACCTCTATAGCAGCTGGGATTTTGGTTTTTTCCTTTTATCTGGTCTAATTCAGAGCTGATTCTGCAAATAGCTGCATCCCCAGGGCATTTGCCAAAAACAACCAGCAGCAGTTGGTTAGCGTTATACCCGCCAGGGGCGGTGGTTCTAATTGGAGCAAAACAGAGACTGACCAAGAAACTTACAGCCTGGTGAATGAAATGTCCATAAAGGGCCTGAACATGTTCCCGGCATCTAGAAGGCTGCCCTGATGCCTGGACTGTGCAGATTCCCCGGGAGACCTGAGACTTGCTGTTTCAAGGCATTTAAAGAATCTCCAATCATTAGGTGACCGATAAGCCGGCCAAGCAGAGACATGGCCACAACAAAGAAGACAGATTCGGGAGGATTAACCCAAGAAGGTCACTAAAGAAACAGCAACAAACACTAGGGAGGGGAGAATGTAATTCCCATAGTACATTTTTTAAAATATCCAGTTTT